TAGCAGCATATGAAAGTAGTAACGGTGGAGCAAGGTAGCACAGGTAGCTGCACATGTAGCAACATATGAGAGTAGTAGGTGGCACAGGTAGCTTCACATGTAGCAGCATATGAAAGTAGTAACGGTGGAGCAAGGTAGCACAGGTAGCTGCACATGTAGCAGCATATGAGAGTAGTAACGGTGGAGCAAGGTAGCACGGGTAGCTGCACATGTAGCAGCATATGAAAGTAGCAACGGTGTAGCAAGGTAGCAGCATATGAAAGTAGTAACGGTGTAGCAAGGTAGCACAGGTAGCTGCACATGTAGCAGCATATGAAAGTAGTAACGGTGTAGCAAGGTAGCACAGGTAGCTGCACATGTAGCAGCATATGAGAGTAGTAACGGTGGAGCAAGGTAGCACGGGTAGCTGCACATGTAGCAGCATATGAAAGTAGCAACGGTGTAGCAAGGTAGCAGCATATGAAAGTAGCAACGGTGGAGCAAGGTAGCACAGGTAGCTGCACATGTAGCAGCATATGAGAGTAGTAACGGTGGAGCAAGGTAGCACGGGTAGCTGCACATGTAGCAACATATGAGAGTAGTAGGTGGCACAGGTAGCTTCACATGTAGCAGCGAATGAGAGTAGTAACGGTGGAGCAAGGTAGCACGGGTAGCTGCACATGTAGCAACATATGAAAGTAGTAACGGTGTAGCAAGGTAAATACACATCAAATAATCACCCTGACACTGAACAAAATAACACGGTAGTAGATCCAGTACAAGGATGGTAGTAACAAGGTAACTTTACAAGGATGGTAGTAACAAGGTAACATTACAAGGATGGTGGTAACAAGGTAACATTACAAGGATGGTGGTAACAAGGTAACATTACAGGGATGGTAGTAACAAGGTAAAATTACAAGGATGGTCATGGTGGTAACAAGGTAACATTACAAGGATGGTAGTAACAAGGTAACCATACAGGGATGGTAGTAACAAGGTAACTTTACAAGGATGGTAGTAACAAGGTAACATTACAGGGATGGTGGTAACAAGGTAACTTTACAAGGATGGTAGTAACAAGGTAACATTACAAGGATGGTAGTAACAAGGTAACCATACAGGGATGGTAGTAAAAAGGTAACTTTACAAGGATGGTGGTAACAAGGTAACCATACAGGGATGGTAGTAAAAAGGTAACTTTACAAGGATGGTGGTAACAAGGTAACCATACAGGGATGGTAGTAAAAAGGTAACTTTACAAGGATGGTAGTAACAAGGTAACATTACAAGGATGGTAGTAACAAGGTAACTTTACAAGGATGGTAGTAACAAGGTAACATTACAGGGATGGTAGTAACAAGATAACATTACAGGGATGGTAGTAACAAGGTAACATTACAGGGATGGTAGTAAAAAGGTAACATTACAGGGATAGTAGTAACAAGGTAACATTACAGGGATAGTAGTAACAAGGTAACATTACAGGGATGGTAGTAACAAGGTAGATTTACTAGGTATGAACAACATAAATTAGTGAGGAAAGAGAACACGGTATTGTGTAAATACCGTGTCGGACTAATTGACGCAATCTCCAATTAGTTGTAAATCATTAGCCTAGATCTTTAAACAAACGAGGCTTAACATTACATTTAATGTCCTAGATCTCTGAACGAATGTGTTGTCTCTAGGTTTTGTCTGTGTTGGTTACGTTGTAGGGCGTCGTTTATTGAACTAAATCAGCAGATAGACAGCCGTCGAAGCATTTGTTGAGATCGATCATACAGGTAGTTTGCTGCTACTTAAGATGACAGGGAACCGGCGACCTTAGCGGAAGTAAATGTGGGGCTGAGACTGCATGAGTCAGAGTTTACCTGGCTCAGCGATCGGCTGTCTCGGTGTTGTGTAGACAGGCTCAAAGACGAGGGGGAAAAGGAGGGATTTAGTTTGTCAAGTTCTAGTGATTTATTTTCTTTAGGAAATCTCTCGACATCTTTCTGCTCTATGTATCCAGTCCACCATCCACGTAACCGACGAGTCCACCAAAAATTTCTCTGCTTGCTCCATTTTTCCTTGTGTCAATATAGTCCAACTTTCCTATATACAAGCTAACCACCATTTAGGTTTCCAGCATATCTACAATTCATACACTCAGCAAAGTGTACATCATATATCTACTATTATCTCAGTATGATGTGAAACTTGTTGGCCCTAATATATATATATATATATATATATATATATATATATATATATATATATATATATATATATATATATATATATATATATATATATATATATATATATATATATATATATATATATATATATATATATATATATGTATGTCAGAGAGAGTGAGAGAAAGAGGGAAGTAAGACAAAGCGAGATGGCCTGAATAACTGATGTGTATGTCGGTCTAAGGAATTTCTGAACATCAAAGTTTACTCAATTTTTATTTTTCCTTGCTAGAGCTTGAGCCTTGATGGCCTCAGGGCCAGGCCGGTGTACTTAATATACTATACTATGTTACCGTTATTTGTACCACAATGGCGATGGGCTATTTACTGCTGGTTGTAGATGGTCATTATGAACCACAGACTGGACTCAAGCCCAGGGGTTGTATGTTTGTATATATGTATGCATGTATGTATATCCCATTAGGTTTTAACAGTGTAAAATTGTTTTTATGACATTCACATTTTGTAGCTGTAAACATACAGCGACACGATGATACCATTGCCAATAACTGTAAATAATAACCGTGGAAAAAATTATTTTAGGGGTCCAAATGTCTAACAAATCTAAGAATCTGAACACCCCCTCCCTCGTACGCCACTGCTACAGCCCACACCTGTGCGAGCAGGAAAAAAATGTGCTCATTTATTATCCCCTAACACGACTTGTTAGCGAGCTTAAGTTTTGTAGCTATCCATCTCCATGTGTGTCACCTGGGTGTCAAATGGGGGCGGGTATTTAGCTGACTTAAAAAGTTGACTTCAGCAGCTACGTTAGGTTGCTGTACAGTGGCCTTGAGAGCTTATTTAGTCCCCCACCGTGTTGGTCCGTTCTATAATAATCACACAACTAATGCAAGGGGTAAACAGAGATGTGACACAACGGGCGGACCAGTGAGCCAACTCAGCCTTTACAGCTCTTCTATTTAGTCAAGACTAGAACCCACACAAGGGCCCACACAGCTCTTCTATTTAGTCAAGACTAGAACCCACACAAGGGCCCACACAACTCTTCTATTTAGTCAAGACTAGAACCCACACAACTACATTTAATTTACACCAGATTAGGGCCCACACAACTACGTTTAATTTACACCAGATTAGGGCCCACACAACTACGTTTAATTTACACCAGATTAGGGTCCACACAACTACGTTTAATTTACACCAGATTAGGGCCCACACAACTACGTTTAATTTACACCAGATTAGGGCCCACACAACTACGTTTAATTTACACCAGATTAGGGCCCACACAACTACGTTTAATTTACACCAGATTAGGGCCCACACAACTACGTTTAATTTACACCAGATTAGGGCCCACACAACTACGTTTAATTTACACCAGATTAGGGTCCACACAACTACGTTTAATTTACACCAGATTAGGGTCCACACAACTACATTTAATTTACACCAGATTAGGGCCCACACAACTACGTTTAATTTACACCAGATTAGGGCCCACACAACTACGTTTAATTTACACCAGATTAGGGCCCACACAACTACGTTTAATTTACACCAGATTAGGGCCCACACAACTACGTTTAATTTACACCAGATTAGGGCCCACACAACTACGTTTAATTTACACCAGATTAGGGCCCACACAACTACGTTTAATTTACACCAGATTAGGGCCCACACAACTACGTTTAATTTACACCAGATTAGGGCCCACACAACTACGTTTAATTTACACCAGATTAGGGCCCACACAACTACGTTTAATTTACACCAGATTAGGGCCCACACAACTACGTTTAATTTACACCAGATTAGGGCCCACACAACTACGTTTAATTTACACCAGATTAGGGCCCACACAACTACGTTTAATTTACACCAGATTAGGGCCCACACAACTACGTTTAATTTACACCAGATTAGGGCCCACACAACTACGTTTAATTTACACCAGATTAGGGCCCACACAACTACGTTTAATTTACACCAGATTAGGGCCCACACAACTACGTTTAATTTACACCAGATTAGGGCCCACACAACTACGTTTTATTTACACTAGATTAGGCCCCACACAAGTAAATGTAATTACCCAAGATTAGGGCCCACACAACTTTTATTTAATCTACATTAGAGCCCACAAAGCTAAGTTTTATTTACCAAGATTAGGGCCCACACAACTAACTTTTATTTACACTACATTAGGGCCCACACAACTACGTTTTATTTACACTAGATTAGGGCCCACAAAACACAATTGTTTTACACAACATAAGAGCCACCCAACTGTTTTACATCATTTTTATGGCCCATAAAACTGCCTTTTACTCTAGAACTATTATCTTAACACTTAACACAATAAAATAATTAATTTTCTAACCGTAATCTTTAAATTCTCTCAATGAAACATGAAAGTAGATTGTAGAAACAGTCAAAAAAAAAAAAAAAAACATGATCCATTTTTTTTCTGTCGAAATTCAGAGATAAACTTATTATAATAACCTTGTCGTAATAACAGAAGTGAAATTAAAAGTGGCACAAGTTTTGTCAGCTAACCTGGGAGGATAATTGAGATGTGTAGTCACCACATCAATAATAACCTTGCCAGCACAGACTCTGTAGCTAATGTCGTTTTACTAGGAGGTGAAGTGTTTACATGTGTTGTTGGCTGTCAGTGTTTACAAATAATTGTCTTAACAGCTCGTAGATGAATAAAATTCTCTGTTGGCTGCATATTTGTAGGCTAAGGTACGTCGTGTTACTTTGGTGTAGTGGAACTTGTAAATACAAACGTTGGTGTGTACTCACCTCTGCGTCTGTCCTGTCTCTCACGATGTTTTCATTGCTGGTGCTGAGGTAATTGTCCTGGTCCAGATGGTCCCTCCGCTGGTAGAAAGGTTCCCCGACAGCGACCAGCACTAAAGGCAGAGCACGAAGCAACCCCACCAGTACCTGTCGCCAGACGAGCATCTTCCCCCGGCCACTGTCTGCACTGTGCTCGCCCTTGCTCGTGGTCAAGCTCCAATCAAGGCGGCCAGCATACCGCCCAGAACAAGTGTCTACGATGAAATACGGCCAGATGAAAAGCTGTCAAGTCTTTAATGAATAATCCATGCGCGTGACCCGGCTCACGAATAGAGTGTAAACGTCGCTACATCTCCCGCGTCTGGGCTCAGCTGCCAGACAAACCTATGACAGGCGCACACGATTCCTCACTACTCTATTGTTAAGCTTGCCCTCGCCGTTCAAACGCTAGCCAGGATGTGACCTGCTGTTTTATAGCCCACGGTCAGTCTTTGACGTCACCGCCAGTTCCTGTAGAGTAACGAGACCAGGCTCATTAATTATGGCAGTTATCAATGAAAGATTTCCTCCCCCCATTCCCATAAGTTCTTACATCCCAGCCCACTTAAACGCCTTACATCGTCCGCTACAACGCCCAGAGTCAGGCTATATTTTCACTCGCATACAAGCAACCGGTTACTACCGCTAATCTCATTATCCCACACAAATACCTTGATCAACAGCTGAAAACAAACCCGACTCGTTTGATTTGGTTTATTTAAAAAGCCACGACTAAAGTTACCGGTGCCGTTATATAAACCAGTTAGTAGCTAATGGTACTTGTCTGAGATATCGCGCTTACTCGAAGGTTACTTGGTTCACTTTTTAAACTAGCGCTATTTAAACTGGAGATGTCTATTGGCACGTACTAAACCACTCTCTTACCGGGCTAGAGTAAACAAACCGTTCGTTCACTTGTCAAACTACCAATATTCACTACATTCGCTTCTTGCTACAGATCCAACTGAAAGAATATAGATGTATATCCGTTAAGAAGAAACTATCCACATGTATTCTGAATGTTATCCAGCCCTAACTCTGCCAGAGAGACCAGAGCACGCCAGATATCTTTCAATCAAGTCGAGTTGGCCCCCTTTAGTCACTGCCTTTTGTATGTAGCCCCATCAATGGGAGCCCGTGTTATCGGGTTGCGGCGGGGCGAGCAGGGGAGGCCAACCAATGTGACAGCGAGGGGTGGGGGTGGAGACAGACAATAAACTATTTACCTTGTAGTTTCAAGTGATCAACGCCTTTCACTTTTCCTTCTCTCCCTCTTCTATCGTTACTCCCTTTACTTTATCCTTAACTCCAGCTTATGGGAGCTGTAAAGTAGCCCCAGCTTATGGGAGCTGTGGAATAGCTACAGCCTATGGGAGCTGTAGAGTTACACCAGCTCATAGGAGCTGTAGAGTAACTCCAGCTTATGAGAGCTGTAAAGTAACTCCAGCTTATGGGAGCTGTAAAGTAGCCCCAGCTTATGGGAGCTGTGGAATAGCTACAGCCTATGGGAGCTGTAGAGTTACACCAGCTCATAGGAGCTGTAGAGTAACTCCAGCTTATGAGAGCTGTAAAGTAACTCCAGCTTATGGGAGCTGTAAAGTAACCCCAGCTTATGAGAGCTGTAAAGTAAATCCAGCTTATGGAAGCTGTAGAGTAACTCCAGCTTATGGGAGCTGTAGAGTAACTCCAGCTTATGGGAGCTGTAAAGTAACTCCAGCTTATGGGAGCTGTAAAGTAACTCCAGCTTATGGGAGCTGTAAAGTAACTCCAGCTTATGAGAGCTGTAGAGTAGCCCCAGCTTATGGGAGCTGTGGAATAGCTACAGCCTATGGGAGCTGTAGAGTTACACCAGCTCATGGAAGCTGTACAATAACCAGCTTATGGAAGCTGTAGAATAACTCCAGCTTATGGGAGTTGTAGACTAACTGAAGCCTCTGGGAGCTATAGAATACCTCCAGCTTATGGGAGCTGTAGAATAACTCCAGCTTATGGGAGCTATGTAGGTCCTGCAATTGTGAGCTGTGGAATAGCTCCAGCTTATGGGAGCTGTAGAGCCGGGAAAATGGCAATAACGACTGCCTTGGTGACATGTTAGTGAGGCGGATACTAATTAGAGTTATACAAGGGGTCCTTTGTCAAATCAGAGAGTTGATGTTATTACTCCCAAAACAGTTGGTGTCGTGTTCGTTAACTGCGGTATTTAATATTTGTCAATTTGCCCGGCAGTAGTTTGGGGTGGGGGTGACGCTTGTAATAACATCGCGGCCAATGTTTACACGTGGCTGTAGACGATACCTTGTGTTTTATGTCGGCGCCCTACAACGGTCGTGTGTACCTCGATTGGGGGCCTGAGGGGAACAATTTAATTTGAGTTTTAAGAAATACAAGAAAGCAGCCCTCAAGAAGAGATACATCGTGGTAATTTGATATCCGGCCCACGAGACAGAAGAAAGGTTTCGTATCCTACAGCCTCCATTGAGCTGTATCTGATCCTATGGTAGAAAACAGGATGTCCCTCACGGAATACTAAACACATTTAACACAGTCCCTGTCAAAATAACCAACTTAAAAATAAACAATCTCTTTCATTAATAAACACGGTGATTTGGGAAAAGAGGACTTGCCTTTTTATTTCTTTTGTCAACTGCAAGCAATAAGGACGGGTCTAAACATAATCGTCAATGAACCTTAGGGTCGTCCATAAATGACGTCACACTCGTAGGGGGGAGGGGGGTCCGTAATTTTGTCACGGTGTGTGATGAGGGGAGGGGGTTCAGATGGTGTGACGTCGCTTTTCTGCATTATAAAAAAGCAATATTAGAAAACGAGTTTTAGCCGTTATTTCGCGCTTTAGAAAACGGTTTTAATTACTTATAATAGGAATTGATCACATAGTTCTGACAAGATTTTGGACAAATATCGATGTTTTAAGAAAAATTCAAAAGTGATTTTGAGGGGGGGGGGGGTTGTAGGCTGAGGTGTGACGTCATTTTAGGGGGGGGGGGTCTGGCTTTTTGTGACGACGTGTGACCGAGGGGAGCGGGCAGGTAAAAATCGTCAAAAAAGCGTGACGTCATTTATGGATGACCCCTTATTCATAATGAGTACTGTGAGTCTCATCTGACGAATATTGACAGCATTATCAACTACGGCCGATCATGGACTACCTATTTCACCAAGACCATCACTACCAAACTCAAAACTATATCAAAGATAGCTTAGTGCTACCATTTCTTACTTTAAGATATTATTCTTTTCATTGATACTACCAAAATATGTGGGCTGGCGTGATGATTTTATAAGCTTTTATTTAGTTCGCAATGTCTATCTGCACGTCTGTCTGTCGGTCTGTGGGTGTGTGACAAAATTGTGACCCACTTCTGATCCAGATGCATTCGTCTTTAATGATAAGCACGAATATTTAATTTTGTATCTAATTGCATTGAAAAAGTCATTAAACTTAATGTAACAACTATTATACTGTCGATAAAAGGGGAGATAATAGCACAAAGTACTAGCGATCGCTTGACCAGCCAGGTGAGCTGTAGTTTACGGATCATTTACGCCGTGAGCCGACCACTTAAGTTAAGCCGGGACAGAATAATTGTCGTTTAGAGTAGTGATTACCAGCTTTAGATGATAGTGTTTTAAATAAAGCAAATATTTTAGTCGTATCTACTTATTTGCATCTTCATATCGACTTTCTTTTTAATTTAAATATTTAGAAATACTACAGAAAAAAAACACATAAATAAAATTAATTTAAAAAACTTTATAACAGTAAGCTTTAAAATGCATTAAAAATAGGAAAAGGAAACAAATTTGCTTCCCTAAGTAAAATCATTGGCCGTTTATGAAAGCTCTTTAACATTTTAGACCAATGTTTTTATCAAAGAGCGCAAGTTAATTTGTCTTTTTTTTCAGTGCATTTGAAAGCTTATTATTATAAAAGTTTAATATTTGTTTAAGTTCTTTAAATTATGTCTACTTCCTTTTAATTGTAAACAGGCCGTGCATTTGGTCGGTTTATAAATATTGAATTCATTTAAGCTGTAGGCTATAGCGTTTTAGCATAGTTTTACAAACGATCTGTTTGTAGTCAAATTTACATGAAGAAAGACACTAGCGCAGACGGAGCCAGCACACGTTGATTTACCTTCTTATAGTTTCTAGCTGCTTGCCAAAGACTTTTTTTTCTGTCCGACATTATTCTAACGCCATTGGTGGCCGCTTTCTGAGCCCGACCCTGCATACATCACAATTACCTCGACGTCTGGGGGAGGGGGGGGGGGTCGAAGAGAAGAAAAACGTCTTGTTGTGTCTGCTTCTAGCCATTTATGAACGCAGACTATTTTCAAACATTCTCCATGGTCTCGCCTGCTACAGCCTGGACCAGAATGACAAATCCACCTGTAGACGAACACTTCTATTTTTCAACAGTTCTATTTCAAACGGCTGTTACTTAAAAAGAACAATAACTTGTGAATAGCTGAAACTACCATCTCAAATGTCTGTTTTCAGCTTGCGGGGAAGACCTTCCCATGATTATATTCTCATACATATTAACAATAACTTATCACAGTCTATAGACGGATGTAGCTTCAGTGACGATTCCGTTAAATTTGTAACGCTTGACGACTGGCTACGTCACCGTGTGTCAGCTAGACACAGCACACGGAGGCGACACAAGACCTGTCGGCCCATGACAGTTGATCTGGTTTTATTTATGAATGAAAGATTTCTCTTGGCGTCCACAGGGCTCTCGCCTAAGTCAGTTGTATACAACTACAGCCCGGTCGCTGGTCCGTGACGTATAATCAATGGGAGATGGCCACAAGGAGGTAGCAGCCTGTGGGTTTACCCGAACAATAAGAGGCTCAACGTAGACCAAGTGGGGAGAATTCGAGTCGAGTTCAACTGCAGAAGCCAACAGCCTGAATAAAGAGTAGGGGCAAACCACAGTACACGACCCAGTACACGGCGCCATCCTTACACAAGCCAGGGCGCCATCCTTACACAAGCCAGGGCGCCATCCCTACACTAAACACGGCGCCATCCTTACTCTAAACACGGCGCCATCCTTACACAAGCCAGGGCGCCATCCTTACACAAGCCAGGGCGCCATCCCTACACGAAACACGGCGCCATCCTTACACAAGCCAGGGCGCCATCCTTACACAAGCCACGGCGCCATCCTTACACAAGCCAGGGCGCCATCCTTACACAAGCCACGGCGCCATCCTTACACAAGCCAGGGCGCCATCCTTACACAAGCCAGGGCGCCATCCATACACAAGCCACGGCGCTATCCTTACACAAGCCAGGGCGCCATCCTTACACAAGCCACGGCGCCATCCTTACACTAACCACGGCGCTATCCTTACACAAGCCAGGGCGCCATCCTTACACAAGCCAGGGCGCCATCCTTACACAAGCCAGGGCGCCATTCTTACACTAACCACGGCGCCATCCTTACACAAGCCAGGGCGCCATCCTTACACAAGCCAGGGCGCCATCCTTACACAAGCCACGGCGCCATTCTTACACAAGCCAGGGCGCCATCCTTACACAAGCCAGGGCGCCATCCCTATACTAAACACGGCGCCATCCTTACTCTAAACACGGCGCCATCCTTACACAAGCCAGGGCGCCATCCTTACACTAACCACCGCGCCATCCTTACACAAGCCAGGGCGCCATCCCTACACTAAACACGGCGCCATCCTTACACAAGCCAGGGCGCCATCCTTACACAAGCCAGGGCGCCATCCCTATACTAAACACGGCGCCATCCTTACTCTAAACACGGCGCCATCCTTACACAAGCCAGGGCGCCATCCTTACACAAGCCAGGGCGCCATCCCTACACGAAACACGGCGCCATCCTTACACAAGCCAGGGCGCCATCCTTACACAAGCCACGGCGCCATCCTTACACAAGCCAGGGCGCCATCCTTACACAATCCAGGGCGCCATCCTTACACTAACCACCGCGCCATCCTTACACAAGCCAGGGCGCCATCCCTACACTAAACACGGCGCCATCCTTACACAAGCCAGGGCGCCATCCTTACACAAGCCACGGCGCCATCCTTACACAAGCCAGGGCGCCATCCTTACACAAGTTAGGGCGCCATCCTTACACAAGCCACGGCGCCATCCTTACACTAACCGCTATCCTTACACAAGCCACGGCGCCATCCTTACACTAACCACGGCGCCATCCTTACACAAGCCAGGGCGCCATCCTTACACAATCCAGGGCGCCATCCTTACACTAACCACCGCGCCATCCTTACACAAGCCAGGGCGCCATCCCTACACTAAACACGGCGCCATCCTTACACAAGCCAGGGCGCCATCCTTACACAAGCCAGGGCGCCATCCCTATACTAAACACGGCGCCATCCTTACTCTAAACACGGCGCCATCCTTACACAAGCCAGGGCGCCATCCTTACACAAGCCAGGGCGCCATCCCTACACGAAACACGGCGCCATCCTTACACAAGCCAGGGCGCCATCCTTACACAAGCCACGGCGCCATCCTTACACAAGCCAGGGCGCCATCCTTACACAAGCCAGGGCGCCATCCATACACAAGCCACGGCGCTATCCTTACACAAGCCAGGGCGCCATCCTTACACAAGCCACGGCGCCATCCTTACACTAACCACGGCGCTATCCTTACACAAGCCAGGGCGCCATCCTTACACAAGCCAGGGCGCCATCCTTACACAAGCCAGGGCGCCATTCTTACACTAACCACGGCGCCATCCTTACACAAGCCAGGGCGCCATCCTTACACAAGCCAGGGCGCCATCCTTACACAAGCCACGGCGCCATTCTTACACAAGCCAGGGCGCCATCCTTACACAAGCCACGGCGCCATCC